GATAAAAGCAAATTAGAAATAGAATTTGAGGTTAGCTAAGTTTGAGCAAAGCACTGTTTTTGGTTTCTATTTGCTTCTTTTGTTTATATTAATATTACTTTTTTATATAGAAACTTCTTGCCATAACTGATGAAGCAGCAAAATCTTCGGCCGTGGGCAGCAATGAGGAAAATATGTCGAAGAATCGTAACGAATCAATCATACCTTACGACCGCAATCGAGTAAGTATTTTTATGTATGTATGCATATTTACATTTTAAACTAAAATAAATTAGTGCGTAAAATAGAGTTTTACGCAAGTATTAACAGCTGTACACGAACAGTGTTATACTATCTTAAAGCTACAGAACTATGTTAAATTGAATAGAACGAATACGCTAAAGTAGCAGCGAAGCTACATCGATAGAGATATATAGATAATATCGAGGAATATACCGATAACGTTTATTCGTTTGATTTTAAAATATAAAATAAAGACATGTATATCCTCAATTTCAGGTTATACTAACACCCATACCGATGAAAGAGAACTCCACCTACATAAACGCCTCATTTATCGAGGGTTATGATAATTCAGAAGCATTTATAATTACACAGGATCCCTTGGAAAATACAATTGGTGATTTTTGGCGAATGATATCTGAACAAAGTATAACCACACTTGTGATGATATCTGAGGTAAGCAAATTTTATTATCCTTCGATCAATTCTCGCTAGCTTATAGTGAAAAGTTGCTAAGTCAATTTAAAAAAAAATCCTACAGAATAGGAAAAGTACTTATAGCACTTTCTTCATATATTATGGAAGAGATTGAATGCGACATTTTTCTCGTGTAAAGTAAATCAAAACTATACGAATCAGATGTATTCGATGTTAATAAAAAAATTTCGTACTATTTTGGCCTTATCAAATTATCTGTTTCTCTTTTGGACTTGCCTTTCATTGAATATAATCGGCAAAAAAATAAAACATGTACCTTAATCCTTTTGACGAAGCATTTTTAATCTTGCTTCCTACATCAAAATATGAGGCTTCACAAAAGGTTCTTTTCACTCTAGGGTAGCGAGACACAAGTATATATGTACATGTGTAAATAATTCAAAACAATTTTGCATTATGGCGCTTTTACAGATTGGTGATGGACCCAGAAAATGTCCACGCTACTGGGCAGATGATGAAATTCAATACGATCATATACTTGTAAAATATATGCAAAGTGAAAGCTGTCCATACTATACGCGTCGCGAATTCAACGTAACAAATTGTAAAATTGATGATACAATAAAAGTGACACAATTTCAATATAACGGCTGGCCGACTGTCGATGGTGAGGTGCCAGAAGTTTGCCGTGGTATTATAGAACTCGTCGATCAGGCGTTAAATCATCATAACAGAGATAAAAGTATTGGTTGTAAATCACCCCTGACTGTGCATTGCAGGTAATTTTGGCGCATAAATAACGCTTTATTTCATGAAAGAAAAAATACCTATGTGTTGTATTATTTATAGTTTGGGCACCGATAGGAGCTCAATATTTGTGACCATGTGCATATTGGTGCAGCAGTTGAGAACCGAAAAGAGCATTGATATTTGTTCAACGGCTAGAAAGATACGATCTCAGCGGCCAAGGCTATTAAATTCATTTGTAAGTGTAAAAGTAAAAAATTGCCAAGTAATTAACGCTGTAATAATTTATGTAAATTTTCCGTTAAATATTTGCAGGCACAATACGAGTTCCTACATCGTGCCATAGCCAACTACGCTGACTTGCACAAACTGTCGACAGAAACTGCGTCTTCTGAGTGTTAATAATTAAGCTATTAAAAAGTGAATAATTTATAAGTATACATCACACACTTACACATACTGATTAGTCATAAACATTTAAAGTAAAACATATAAATATATATAATGCATATATATGTATATCTAAGCACAAAAAAGTATTTGTAATGCATAGAAATCATATTCATTTATTGTGTAAAACTTCGCGAACCCAACCACAACAAGAACAAAAAAAAAATAACAATAACTTAATGTTTAAAAATTGACTTATGTATAAGTTTTTTCTACCTAAGTTTATTTAGCAGACTACCAAAGGACAGCCCGTAAATAAAAAAATATTTTAGATAAAACCAAAATGTGCTGGAACTTTTGAAGTATTGCGTTTGAATGGGGAATCGAATTTATCAACGATTAGGGGGATTACCAGCTCGTGCTTGCGGGTATTGAAAATTTGAAAAATACCTATAAAGAAAAATATATATTTTTTTAAAGCGTCGCCCGTCTGATGGGAAGAGAGAGAAAAGCCGCTGATGGGACAGGAATTCGTGTCGCTCAGCCAACTTTTAACCCACCGGGAATTGATTTACGCACTATGAAGATTTGTTTTAAAAGCTAACCATTTGTGAACAACGCCCATTATTGGACTTTAATCTTTATGAGGACTTTCAGAAATCAATACAATACATTCATTAGAACCCGGCGTCCTTAACACTGCAAGCATCAGAAATTGACCAATTCAATGATTTTGTAGCCGTAGACCTTTATTCCAAAACCTTCCTGCTTTCTTGTGCTTACGAGGAAAAAACGCATTACTATTAACTCTTATTTATTGAGGATCGAAATTAAGAAGTACATATACGTACGTATTGTTTTCATATACATAATTCTAATTTGTGTTTAATTTACTTATTGAAAATTAAGTTCAAAATATGATTGTAGGCATAACCTACACTGGAGCTACTGAATATTCAGCCGGAAATTTGAAGATGTGTGAGCCAAGTGATTTGATAGTAGGCAACAAGCCGGCATTCGGTATAATATTCCATGATAAATATAATGAAACATTTTTATTGTTCCTGTGGAATCAAATGAAATTAAAAAATATGTATGTACAATAAAATTGCTAAGCAAATAACTCACTTCAATCCATTGCCATCATCCCAGAAGTAATATTTAGTATTCATATTCTTAAAATCAAGCGCCGAATTTTCGCCACGCAAAATTATCTTATCCCACAGCACAACTTGATTTAGTACGTTGTCCTGTGTCTTATATTCCGCGGTCAAGTAAAGGAACAATTGTTTTACATTCCAATTGAAAAGGCTGGTGAGGTTCGTTTCCAAATCGAAGGTGAGAAAGCCCAAGTCATGTTTCTCACGCGAGGCGCCGTAGTCGGGCACGTTTTTACTGATACACAATGATAAATTTTGGAATAATGAATAGGTATACAAAAATTGGCCCTGCCTTCAAATATGCAGGTATACATAGTACTTACACCAACACTTTTACGGTGTTTACGTGTGCAGTTGTCCTGCTGTCTAGGAATACAGTTGAAAGAAAGCAGCAAAATGTTAAACAGGCTAATACGCTTAACGAGTAAGCAACTGTTGCATTGCCCCGCGTTAGTACCGTATGCATATTTATTTGTTTTTTGTAAATAGCAAAGGAATTAATTTAACTAACTACACGTATACCATTGACACGTAGAAAATAGCCGCCGATTGTCAAACAGCAGGGATATGTAATGTACGAAGTTATTAAATGGATTCAGTACAGAACAGGGTGCTCCAAAGGATTGAAAGTAAATTGTTTGCAAATACAAAGTTTTCGATGGAATTTTAGTGCTGTTTACTACAAGTTAAATAAACAAAAAGAGATTAAATAGTTAACAAATCATGTGGGCAATTGGTTTTAGTTACTAAATTTTACTTCAAAAATGTATTTAATAAATACTCAAATTATGCATTCTATAAGTGGACGGAGTGTTACTGTTCCACTGATCCCATATTTTCTTCTGAGCCATGCTGTACCCAGCAAGTAATTAATTTTTTAGCCAGCTTGTTGAACGTAAACATTTGTGGGCGTATTAAAATAAAGTGTTTGTCGCGTATTATTTAAAATGAAACCAATTGTTGTGTTGACGTCTAGCGGAGAAGAGAAGCCACAAAATATAATCAAAGGTATGTATCTAAAGTAAACGTGATCAAATTTGCCGCTTTTTCACAATAATTGGTTGAAAGTTAAGCGATCGATCCCATCAAAGGTCGATTCATCATAGGGTAAAAGTGCACTTTAGCGGAACCAGGCGTCCTAATCGTTTTTGCGTAGGCGGCATTCGGCCGCACTTAGGGATTATAACCCTCAGGCAGTAGAATTCTCCTTTCTGTGTTGCCAAAGAAGGGGGGCTGAACACCTTTTGCAGAGACCAACTTTCATTTACTCGATTTATTTGCATAAAATTCATCAAAACATGGTGCGAAAAGTGCAAAGTGCAAGTGTTTTTTGCGAATAACTCTAAAAATGAAGTGTTGCTAGAGGGACAGTCCTTGGCGAGATATAAATCCGGGTCGTTCCGGTTACGTCGACCCGACTGTCGATCAAGCTAGGTGACTATTATAATTAGCTTTTTACTATTATAGGTATCCTTAACACGATTGGAAATCCCACAGAAAACACCGAGTCTATTACTATTGGTTCATCCACATATTTAACTTATTTGTGTGATCTTAAAACCAAGTATTATGAAAATACCATCGCTTTATTGCCCTATGAAGGCAATATCTGTGAACTACCCGAAGATGTTTTGAAGGCTACAGAGATGCTAATGTTCTACTTCGATCCGGACAATGTAAATCTCTATACTACCAGTTGCGGTTAACAAATTACTAATTTAATTCCTATATTTTTAGAAATCATTTAAGCAAAAACTGCCTGACCTTTGCAAACTTGTAACCAATAATGACATCGAATTGGGCTTATTGTTGACTAGCAAACTCTTTGATGATGCAAAACAAGGGCTGACTTATGAAAGCGTAAAAGAATGCTATAAATTCCAGTTTGATGTAATAGAGCTCAGCAATGATGAGGCTGCTGAAGAAGCCGGAGGATATGAAGAAATCGTCGAGGCTTTAAAAAATAATATTTGGTCTAATGTTAAAGTACCGGGTAAGCGATTTCTCTCATAATACATATAACATCCTTTAGTAATTTGTAATTCGTTAAAAAACTTGGGAAGGTGGCAACATAGATGGGCAAGAAGGCGATATGGAAGAGCAGTTGGAAAGCTTCGAAAATTTACTATCGAGCATTCAAAACTTTAAACGTATATCGAATGGCATGGAACGAGATCAAATGCTCGATGAAGCAGAAAAATTAGCTGAACTTTTTATCAAAATGATGAATGAAGATTAAATGTGATAAATTTTCGAGGATTCTAAGTTAAACAAGAATGTGTATGTAATAGTATGTAGTAGATTAAAAATCAATAGCCAACGATCGTTCTGAAGTGTTAAAGGAATTTATATATACATAATTCAACAGAAATATGAATTTCTCGCATTCAACCTCAATATATGTACATATGTCCTATAAGTGGGAACCAGGAATTTTGCCAATCGTCTCCAATACGAAGGCATTTTTAAACTTTTCAACATAATACTAAAAATTCATATATGTATATACATATTTATGTTTTCATATTATTTTATTGATAAAATTTATGCTGGTAAAAGATCAAAGTCATCGCTGACGTGTACTATAGGTACGTGATCCTTATCAATTACAGTTTCACATTTGTAATCCCATAACTTATGTTTCTTCTGTTCGATATCCCAATTCATCATCTGTACGGCATGCAGGCTTTCAGCTTCATTATGGTGGCGCAAAACCATAGCTTCCTAAAAATATATTACACTTCATAAAAAATACACATGATCGGGCTATGCAAGCGCGTACCTTTATTTTATCCCATTTATCGTCGACATCCTGCAACCAGCTTAATAGTTGCCGTCCATTGAAACGATATCGCGCATTTTTATCCTTTTCTTCCTGCTCAGATGTCGGTATATTATAGACTTCTTGATCTTTAAGAAGCGTGCATACTGAATATGGTACGGGTTGACATGAAATATTACGCGCAGCCTTCGAGTGAACTCGTATCATTTCCTGTTCAACATTCAAGCACAATTTTTCGCGTTCTACTATATGACGCTGTAGCAATTCATTGCGCTCTTGTTCTTGGATACTAAAAATGTCTTGCATTTTTGCCGGTATCGTACCTGGCGTTACAGTTTCAACCTTCTTCTCGTTACTCGCAAGAAGATAGGTTTTCTTGTTTAGTAAATATTCATTATAACCTTGCGGTGGTCTCGGTTTAATGGGATAAATGTTTCGCCACTTTTTCTCAATCTGCCTACGTATATTAAGATACATTTGGAAACAATTTGTAAATGGAAAATCATGTGAATGTGTTTCTGAAATGGTCGAAGATGCTTCTGTATTTGAATTATGATTGCCATTATTCTTGTTATTGTGATTATCATCGTGTTTTGAGCGTATTTTACGCTTACGTGGATGCAATTCGACGCTATGCGAATGTACATCCTTCGATGAAGAGGTCGATGATGTAGAAGGACTTGGCAAATTAACGATATTTTCATTTTCATATGTTGGGTTCTGTTGTATCGGACTTGCGCTGACGTTTGTAAATGAAAGCTTGTTTTCTGTATTACCTTCGTTAGCATTCGATGATGCTGGCGATGGTGAGCTGCTCTGCATTTGTGGTGACGAATTATTGGAACTACGCTCAGCGCTGGTAATGCCACTCCGATGTGAGCTGCGAAGCACACGATGTAGATTTTTTTCCTCATTTAACAATTTCATATTTTTTTCATCCATAACAGTGCACATGTTGTTAATTTTAATGGGACTCTCATTTGGACTACTGCATTGGGCTTCACGTTCGCTGGAATCATTTGTGTTTGAACTCACTACATAGGGTAGGGCAGCATTGCGAGATGTATTAATTTTACCCGTGCGCGATACATTTCCATCTGTATCTATAGAACAGTTCTGTTGTGGAATGACAATTTTCAAAGGTGGTACTTTCAAACCGCCACTATATAAAGAGTCTGACATTTTGAATTCTTCATCCTCCGTATCGCCCTCAAATTGTTTTGCGAATCCAGTTTTTGTTAAGTCAGACTGCTCTTTTTCTGTTGAATTCGAGTTTTTACTAGGATTCGGTGAACCCTTAGTCGTCGTCGTTTGCTTGATGGCCTTCTCAGTGCGGCCGGGTAGTCGTGCAGCTGAAGTGGATTTAGAATCTTTGCCAGCATCTACTTCCTTGCGTTTTTTCTTCTTGACTTCATCACAATCATCAAATTCGTCTTCATCGACGTCTGAGAAATTCCT